AGAGATTAATAAAGAAGGTTAATTGCAGGGTACTGAAAAACCGAGATAATTAAAAAAAAACTGAAAAAACTGAATTATAAAGAAAAAAATCAATTAAAAAAATTAAAAAATAATTCGGTTCAGGTTTAGTTTTAGAAGGCTAAAACTAAATAAATCAAACCAGTTAAATAAAAATAAAATAATTTCTAAACCCATCTACAATTCAACTTTTTAGTCTCTTCTTTTAACCTACCAAACCCCTCATGAATCAATAAATCAAATCTTTAATTCTATCCTTTTCCATTCATATATTTACTTATCCTTTTCCCTTCACATATTTACTTTGTAGTTTCTTCTTTTCATCGTAATAAATCTAACTATCACTTCCCTTTTCTTGTTCAATTTCTCAATTAAATCTTTATATTTTTTATTTACAGATCTACTTTTTAATTTCAAGTTTTTTGTCTCTTCAAATTGAATGAGAAATTTGCTTGTGACTATTTTCTTTTTTAAATTGTTTTTTCTTTTTTCTTTCCTTTTTTTAGTTTTTATTGATTTATATTAATCTATTTTGTTAAACTTTTCAAGTAAAATTAGTCAATAAAATCAGATACAATTTTAATGTCCATGTTTGCAGTCTCAATAGATAATTTTTTTCTCTGCTGTTTCTTCTCACTTGATTTCTGAGAAAATAGAAGCAATAAAATGTTAAAGATATATGAATTAGTTAACAATAACATTAAAATAGCATTATTTTTCTATTTATTTTGTTTTTGTTGGTGCTAGAATAGATTTTGTTTTTTCTAATAGGTGTTGAGATGGAGATCGCTGATACAGAGTACAAATTGTAATTTTTTAGTTTTAGCAGACGAATTTTGATTAAAGGTGATTGGTTTGAAAAAACTATTGGGTGCAAATTAAAAGATATTTCTCATTATTTAAGATAAATTCTAATAAAGAAAAATTATAAAATGAACGTAGATTCTTATATTAATTATAAACCTTTTAAATGACCCATCAAAAGTAAAAAAAAAAAAAAAAAAAGGTTAAAAAAAGCAAAAAAAATAAACCAGTTTTTTTTTCTTTTTTCCTTCAATTAACCAAACCAAACCGATATGCAAATCAAATCAAACCAAAATTCATTACTTGAACTAGTTTCAATTCAATTTTGATTTTTTTAAAATATAAAATTTAATTTGGTTATTTTTTTAGATAAAAACCAGAACAAAAAGAAAATGCCCCCCATTTAATTGTGTACATCAAAACCTTATCTCTGTAAATGTAATCATCAACCCAAAACATGGATAAAGTTAGGATTTACTTCAAAATAATCAAGAAAATAAAAATGCAATCTCTACTAAGCTAGAAGCAACTAGATAAAGCAGCAAGGCTATTTAGGGCCTTAGCAGCGCATAAAGCTGTAGTTCATCAACTTCAATTATCGAAACCTCGATTCCCTTGGTAATCGTCATTGTAAGATCGTGGTGGTCGGCTCCTCTCCTCAGCAAAGGACACGCGAACATTTCTTCCACCCAGCTCCTGCAAAATCAGCATGATCAGTCAATACATAGTTCAGGAATCAGGGCAGTCAACTACCTCAAAAAACATTCTATTTCCGACCTGGCCATCCATTGCTGATAGTGCTTCACTGGCAGATTCACTGCTATCATAACTAACAAACCCAAATCCACGAGATCTCCCAGTCTCTCTATCCATGATAACCCTTGCTGTAAAACAGAACCAAGCAGAGTAAAGAACGTTTTGCAACAGCAGCCACACTAACTCAATTACTGTCATTAAAACGTTAAATATCCAACTAAAATGACACTTATATCTTTCTGAAATTGTCATGGTAGAATCAGATCAGGAAAACTTTGACATGGCTAATCCACCAGTCTCAGTCATCATTTTACAGCCAAAGAAAAATAGCGTGCTCAGGTTCGTTTAGTAAACCTTACTAAATAACTGGTTCAACTACACAGGCTCAAACTTACCCTCTATCACTTCTCCATAGCCAGAAAATGCTTCCTTAAGAGTATGGTCATCAGTTGACCATGGAAGCCCTAAAACACAGACAAGATAGACAACGGCAGAGCATTAATCCAAAACACACATGAACTTGTATCATTCAAACATCCAAGTATTCATCAAAACCATTTGGAGCATTCAAAATGCTATTGTTCATTAATACCTCCAATGAAAAGCTTGGATGACGACATGCAGCGAATGGTGTTCAACATGGACACCATTGGAACTTGCCCCTTCTGGGAAATTGACTGCCTTGCCAGGCTCCCGAGCTTGTTAAAGAATGCCATTTCAATTATGGACTAAACCATAGAGATATCACACCATCAGTATCAAGCATTAACAATGTGTAACCCAAACAAGCTCAAAACATAGTAAGCCAATTCATAATCACGAAATATCTCAAAGCAATAGTAAATAATGGTGTTGATTTTTTATTCATTGTTTCTTAAGAGATCAAATAGCAAACTTCAGATAAAAAAATAAAAACACAAACCGAAAACAATGACAAGAACAAAATGGATTATTCAGAACACAAAAAACACTCGGAAAACCAAATAACTCTAAGAGATTAGCTGAGCCTCCACCTACACCATTCACACTCCATAAGCAGCCCAGGTTAAAATAAAATAGAACACTCTAAAAGGCTATCATTAATAATCTAAAAAATAAATCACAATTCAAACAGAAAAAAAATCTTATAAACAAGACAGAATCAATCACGCAGCAAACAAAACATAACCCAAAACCAAAACACACAAACTAAATCTCAAAACAAAATCCTTGAAGACAGAAAGAACGAAACTTTACTAAAACAAAATCAAACTATGTATGAGCCATAAGACATCATAAAAAAACATTACTTTTTAAATAAAACACCAGCATCAAACATTCAAGTACAAGGAAAAATAAAGTCCCGAGAGAAAGGGAAAAAAAAAAGAGTTCATCTATAAACTGAGGCTTAAGCAAAGACAAAGAATTAAGTGTAGAAAACAAAACATAACCCAAAACCAAAATAAACAAACCAAATCTCCAAACAAAACCCTTTAAGAGTACAACCCAACAAACCCAGTTGAGTACACAACAAAACAATATCAGAGATAAGACAGAAAGAACGAAACTTTACTAAAACAAAAACAAACAATGCATGATCCAAAAAAATCATTAAAAACATAACTTTTTACATAAAACACCAGCATCATACATTCAAATACAAGAAAACATGTCAAAGGAGAAAGGTAAACAAAAAGAGTTCATATATAAACTAGGGCTAAAGCAAAGAAGGTAAGGATTATACCTTGGAAGAAGAAAAGAGGCAAAGGGTTTTAGTACTGGGAGAGAGTGAAATAAGGGAAGCGGCTAGGGTTTAAGAGATTCAGACTTATGAGCGGCCCTATAACGACATGTTCCTGAATTTATAGTCGCTAGGGTTTAAGATGGAAGGGGTTTTTGGGATTTTAAAAAAGTTTTGAATTTTTTTAGTTTTAAGTAATTATTTATTTATTCTTCATTATTCTACTTTGTTAAAATTATTTTTAAAAAATATATCAAATCAATATGAAAATATATTTTTTAAAATAAAGTCTCGTTACATGTCTCTGGAATGCAATTATATTGTTAAATTATTAATATTGTTGACGTAATACCATTCATTATATTTTGACAAAGGATGTCGATAAGAGAGTTCTTGTGTTGTGGTAGCAAAATCGTTGATGATTTGGAGTCATTGTTTCACCTCAGATTGCTGAAGAAGTTCCAATGTATATTTATGGGCTCCAGTGTGCTCTGCTCCTCCCCTCCATTTTCCATCGCACGAACAATAGCCCCTTTCTCCCCTTCCATGGCGCCGCTAGTTTTCACAGCAATAGGAGCCCCTTGAAGACGCGACAATCACCTTTTTATTGGTGCGGGTGGTTAAACCATTAAAAGTTACTAAATTATAGCTGTTGTTGCTTTAAACCATTAAAAGTTCAAAGAATTTCCATGTTAAGTAATAACTTATGAGCTTAAATATGTTATTATAGCCCTCTTGGATTTAGGACAGTTGCTAGCATTGCTTACCTCTAGGGTTGGTATTGACATACGTGGAAAGATAGCAGTATGAATGTTGAATGGTTAACCCAATGTTTAATGCATCTGAAATTGTCATAATATTTTGCCATTCTTGCCGACAAGAGTTGACCTCAGTGTTGATGGCTCAGTTTGGATGATGACCTCGGATATATTACCTGGACCCATGTTTTTTAATATTTGGGCATTTGAGGTTTTTTTTGCCCGTTAAGTTATCACCTCAATATTCTTTTATTGAAATCTTGGGATTTTGCTCGTAGTATGCTCATCTACACTTGGAATCCATCAACTAGAGAGTCCAGGGAATTGGCCATGTAGGATTATTTGGAAGCTGATACGTACGTTCTTTAATGGATTTGGTTATGATTTCCAGCTTTACAGAAAAGTAAGAGGTTCCATCTCTACTTTCTCCAACATTGCTGATGCCTCTAAGCCTGAAACTAAAGCGGATCCGTAAAAAGCAATATGTGAACAATTCAAGGCCATCAATCGTTGTAGTGTTGTCATGGATTGTCCGGGCAGATTATCAAATGGGCCGGGTTTTGCATTGGCTAGTCAGACAGGAAAATGGTGTGAGTAAAAGGTTAGCAATAGTTTCATTTGATTTGGCACAAGAGAATCCTAGCGATGGTGCCACTTCGAGGTCTAATTGATGATGACTGCTAGAGATATCTACCAAACCCGTTGTCATGTTGAAACAACAGCACTGTCCAGCAGCTGCAGCAGCACCAAGGACTCTCTTCCAAGAGATAGCAGATAAAGTTTTAATCTCTTGGTGTTAGTACGTTGTTTGTATCTGATAGAGTTTGTGCTGTTTCTTCCCTTTTGTATAGACACAACAGATACATAAGTGTAAAGATATACACAGCTCATACATTACAGCAAGTTTTAATCTCTTTAAAATTTTGTGAATGTGTTCTACAAGCCTGAAACTTATGAAAAAAAGGAGCTTTTTGAGATTTTGTAACTAGCTGAGTTCAGAATTATACCCAAATTAGGCCTAAAAAATATTGTTTCGGAATTTGATTTATTTTTAGATTTTTTCCTTTTATTTTCCTTGTTATTGTATGATTTCTTTTCCTTTTCAAGTTTAGGTCTATCTAGCACCTGTTTAAATATTTTTTTAAGTTATTTTCATAATGGTTTTTAAGAATTATTGAATTTTAAAATATATCTAAATAGATATTATCTCTAGAGTTTAAGAATTCCTTTCCTTTTTGGTTTCTACTTTCCAGTTAAGATTGTTCTCCTTGCTCCATGCCTAGTTTCTATCTCGAAGCTGCTATAATGTGATTTGAAGGGTTTTTGGTTTTGGATTATATGGATGTGTTCATGAATATGATTGTAGTTATTTTTTAAAGTATTTTTTATTTATAAATATATTTAAAAAATATTTTTTATTTTAAAAAAATTATTTTTTATATTAGCACATCAAAATAATCTAAAAATATTAAAAAAATATTGATTTAAAATAAAAAAATTTACAATATAAATTATACCGCGTTTTGAAATGATATATTTAAGATATGTGATTTTGGGACTTGCCTTAACCAAGCCTATTTTTAACGTCATGTCTTTAACTTCGAAGGGTTTTTTGTGTTTCCAAAGTCATTAAAAAGACAACATGGAAGTGGCTTTGAGCTGCATATTTCAAAATTATGAGTAGATTTCTTTATATGCCTTACAATGACTTCAGATTTTTACAAGACATGGAATAACTTGCAACAAATGAAAATGGCCATCTCTAGGGTTTTACTTTATTTGCCTTCATTTTGCGAGAATATTCAGAAGAAAAGGGATTTTATTTCTGATGATGTGCTTCTCCAGAGCAGAAAAACAAAGCATGTCCTTTCTGATGTCGAACTTCTGAAAAAAGTGCGATTAAATTTTATGCAAATGAACAAAAAAGAAAAAAAACAGAGTTAGTTTTTAAAGTATATACCAAAGGAGATGTTCGTAATAGAATTTATTCAGTCTAGTGGCCAATTAGACAGTCCTTAGGTTCTCTACTTGATTTTCTGCGCATGTTATGTTGCGGATGAGAATTTTTTTATATATAAAATACTAAGTGTTACTAATATAGTTTATATAAAATAATTAATCATTATCTTAAAATATAATGTATATTAAATGATTTAAAAAATATATTAATAATATGATATAATGGATAATATTTGTTATTAAATATTAAGAGAATAATCTATTAAATTGATTTAGATTAATTTATCTAATCTTTGATAAGTGTTTATGTTTTGTTTTTTAATTTAAAGAACTCTAAATTAATGATATAAGTTTGAATACCTTTGAAAACAGTTATAATTAGAGGAATTAAACATAATTTGATGATAAAATAGTATATTTATAAAAAATATATTAAATAACTTAAAAACCCTTAAATTTAAGAAACAATAATATTTATTATTGAATTTTAAATTAATTAATGCTATGAAATTTATATATTTTCATTCTAAGAGATGAAAAATTCTTACATTTTACTTGAATAATTTAAGGGGTATTTATACCTCATGAATCTTGTTGAATCTTGTTGTTTTAAAAAAAAATGATTTTATGTATACCAATATAAATATAATAATTTATTATATTTTTTATATATTTATTGTAAATGGTTATTTATGATCGCATATATAGTTTTAAAACTTAAATATTATTAAGTATTTTGGATTAATTTTTGTTAAACTCGTCGTGTTATCTTTTGTATAATTAATTATTAAACTTATATATGTTGGATATGATATATTTATTAGATTTATTTTATTTAAAATAATTTTTACTTGTAAAAATTTTAACTCAAAAATTAACTCTGCAAAAGATTTCATCATTAATCTTTGAACGTTCACAGGATCCCACATTAGGAAACACATACACGCCTTCCAAACAAGAAAATGACTGGCTGAAATATTGCCCTCGAGGAGCACTCCTCCATGAACTTCAGAGACTAACAGCTACAAATTCCAAATCCATCACTCTTTTAGGCAGCTATTCTATGATCTATTGTTCGGTGTAAACTATATTGAATTGCGATTTCTATTTGGTAAGTATGGAAAATTATAAGAGCAATATATATGTTATGCAAGGATGACAATGCCCTCATACTGTGTCATGTCAATAAATATAAAAATAATAATCTAATTCTCTTTTAATTTTTAACTAATATATTATTTTTAACAGTTTATATTAAAAATTTATTTTATATCTTATTATTTAGTTTTATTTTATTAATAAAATAGGTTTTTTCTCTATTTTTATTGAATTATTTGTTAAAAATAATTCTTTCTTTATTTTTATAGTTATTTTATTTGTTAATATATCTAGGTGATTGTTTATTTTTTAAAAATATATTTGATTACTTTCATTTATAGATAAAATTATTGTTTTATTTTATCTATTTTATAAATTTAATTATTAATTTAAATAATTTTTTATTATTTTCCAAATAATCAAATAATTTTATATTACAATAAAAATATTTTTTAATAATTCTTTTTGTTTTTTTATATTTTTCGAATTTATGGAGAATGTGGTAAAAATGTTTAGATAAGTCTTATCTCATGGGACAATGTAAGTTGGTCTTAAAAACGTTTAGATAAATTTTATCTCATGGGACAAAGTAGGTTTGTCTTGGAAGAATGGTGGGATATAAAGTTAAAGATATGACAAAAAACTATTTCTTGTCTTCTTATATATGTATCATGTATTACATTGATTTGTTTTTTATTTTTAGAATTGAGTTTTAAAAATATGTTTGGTTTTAAAAAATATTAAATTAATATTTTTATTTAGTGATTTAAGATGGTTTTAATTTGGGAAAATCAAAAAATATATTTTTAAATGAAAAACCCTTTCACCACAATATTAAAAATACTTTGTTTTTTATTTGAACAAGTTTCTCAGGTTTTGTTCGACATTATAATCCATTAATCATTTAAAACTTTTTATTTTTTATTTGTTAGCTTTAAATTATTATTATTATTGTGTTTTTAGATCGGTTTAATATATTGATGTAAAAAAAATTAAAATATATATTATTTTAATATATTTTTAAACAAAAAAATACTCTAAAAAATAACATCTATCACACTTTTAACCATGCTTTCACACTCTAAATCATGCTTTTAGGAGAAAGATTTTCAGTGACTTTACAAAACTATTAAAATCTTACATAAATTTTAAGAGTAAAATCCCATGCCATTGCAAGGATGAAAGAAGCACAACAAGACACAGTTGATAGTTAGGGAGAAATAATCTCTTATTTATTTATTGATTAATTTGAATATTAAGACTATAATTTAATAAGGCATATTCATTTTCACCTCAAATATTGAACAAAATTTCTAAGCCATAAAAAATAAACCGTGATAAAATTTATCCAAGAAACAATTTTAGGAGACAGGCGCAAAACAATGAAAAGACGATCAATCATAAAGCGGAGACCAAGGAGTGCCTGTGTCGACGGGACCAGTACGAGGTAGGAGACTAGGCAAGAAAAAAACATTGAAAGTGGTGAATTAATGAATGCCACTACTTTTCTTCTATATAATATTTTCTGTAAATTAAGCCTCGTATGTTACAAATCAAAATTTTTGTGGAGTTGCCAAGACCACAGCCACTTCCTCTTACATTTTTCAACTGGAAAGAGCTTTGGCTAAAGGCAAATAGAATAAAACTGCACAGGCTTGTGCATCTCTTCCAAGCAACCCTGCTCAATTACTTTTTCTGAATTAATTAGTGATACCGTGCCGGGAGGAAAGGAGGAAAAACCTGCCCATCAACAATACCTTTCTATTCGTGCTCGCTCCGGCATGCAATGAAGTGTCTGGGATCATTAGCTTGCATTCACCACCTTTTCAAAACTCAGGCAGTTAAAGAATGCGCATCACTACTGCCTCGATACCCTGGCAGTTGCAGACTAAACTGTCCTAAGGAATCAGAAAAATGCAGCTTGATAATCGAATAACCAACCCAATGCCTAGATGTTGCCATACCTCTCCTCGATGTGGTTATACGGAGGGTCCAACACATTAGATTGTTCCGGATAGTCAACCATGTCCAATTGCTGAAATCATCAATAGGGAATCACGTATGGCAGCGCATAAACATCAGCCCACTCAAAGTGTAGAGCTTCTGACCACACCAGTGGTTTCTCCTCGACCCCTGAAAATCCAACCTTGGGCTTCTTTGCTTGGGAATCAGTGCTCTGAAATAGCCATTCTTGGTCCTCGAAATCAGAACAATCTTCCATTTTGGGCACTGTAAGCACATAAGGCAGATACTTGGAATCTGGATGGGGTTGTTTCTTAGACACTTCTGCTATTTGATCCGTTTGTGCAGTTGAATGCAACGGCTTCATTAAAGAGATAGATGGCGGCTGAGTTGTTGAGGAGATCGACAGAGCTTGAGTTTCTATCAAACCATTTATCTTGTGTCCTTTATTATCCACCTTATCATTATTGACAGCCTCCTGCTTACCTCGCATAGCTGCAGTGGGATTTTGGCAAGTTCCCAACATCCTTCCATTCCCAGCTGATAGAGGCAAGGACGAGGCGGATCTTGGCAACTTATCCGGCTTAATATCATTAGCTGCAATGGAAAACAAAAATGGAAGTGGCTGCATTAACTTAAAAAAGTATGTGGAGTCTGGACTTGCTACACAAGGGGTTAATCTCTGTGAAGGCATTTCTGTTCAATCAATATCAGAAGTTGAAAATCTACACCTTGAATATGAGAAACGGGATTAAAAGAAACATTTGTAGACAAGGTTTCAACAATAGTCATTTGAATTTGACTCACCATGCAAAAATCCATTTGTGTCTGAGTCCTTTCGTTTCTTGATATTTACTTCATCAACAGCACTATTAGTGATCTCCTTGGGAAGATGAGAGGGTTTTACAGTATTATTAGCTACAGCATCAGACCTACCACTTTCCTTCAATTTATCTTGCTCTTTCTTCTTATGCTCACTTTTCTCCTTTGGTTTCTCCTCACTTTTCTTCTCCTTATCCTTGACTTTATCCTTCTCTTTGCCTTTTTTCTCTTTATACTTGCGCTTATGATTGCTTTCCTTTTTTTCAGACTTATCCTTCCCTTCCATCTTCTTGATGTCTTTCTCCAGTTGTCTTGGCGTCTCAGCACATCTAGCTTGAAATGTTGCAGAAAGGCTCTGAGTACTGCCATTAAATCTTGCTTCATCCCTGATTCCTTGACCATCCATGTTTCCATCATCATCTCTCTTGTTCTTTTCTTTTCCATCAACCAAATTGCCAGGGGATTTCGCCACCAGTCTGACCATTCCCTCATCCCCTTTTGCATCTTTACCAGGAAACTTCTCAAAGAACTGGTTTTTGTCTTCATCTCTGGCTCTTTTTCCCAGCTCTTGTAAAAATTTAGAATCCTTAGTATGGTGAGATAAATTGCTGTTAATTTGAATGAGCTTCTGACCATTGTAACCTGTAAATTGCCCAGCAAATTTCTTCTCACCAGAGATGCTATTCTTCTCCTCATCCCTTTCCTTACCCTTCTGAGCAATAATCTCTCCACCATTACCCTCAGATTTCTCTGGAAGTTTCCTGCCATCCAAGGCTTTATCTCCATTGATATGCTTAGATTGCCCAGGAAGTTTCCTTTCACCTGAGGCTTTATCTCCTCCATTGTCAAGCTTAGCTTGCCCCGGAAGTCTCTTTTCATCTGATGCGCTACTTTTCTCTCTATCCTTCTCCTTTTTCTCTCTATGCTTTTCCTTTTTGTCTTTCTTATCCCTATGCTTTCCATCACTCCTATCTTTCTCCCTCTTTTCTTTATCTTCTCTCTTCTCTTTATCTTTCTTCTCCTTCTTGGGTTTCTTCTCTCTCTCCTTCTCCTGAAAAGTATATGAAATCATTCATCTCAAAGAATCTAGAAAGACAGGAATCCATCACATAGGTAAATCATGTAAAATATAGTCAACCCTTTTACCACCCAAAACTTGAGAACAAAATGCAAACAAGACAAATCAAAACTTTGACATGGAAGCCTGCCCTAAGCATCACCCATGAAACAAGGAGAATGCCAGGTACCTCCTGTGTGCCTAAATTTTAACTCATTCATTTATCATTGCCAAATTCATCACAATGAAAATCATACAAGAAAATAGGTCAGAGAGGTGAAAGAGATAAGAAACAACATCCAGGAGCTAGTGATACCCCTGTAGACAGAAATGCCAGAAATAGTCCACCCACCCAAACAATTCCTTCTTCCAAGACATCTAAGAAGTTGCAGCTAAGGACAGGGAAACTCTATTGACTGCAAGTTCAAAATTCTAACCATCTTATCTGCCTTAAATAAAAACCTACTCTCCCAGGCAAAGATATTCCCATCCTTTCCAGAAAAAAACTCAATTATAGAGTTATAATGGCATCTTTCCATTTCTCTCCACGTAATAAAAGTTGGCAACCCTCAGATTGAATAGTATTGAATAGTATCATTACAACCCCGAACAAAAAAGCTTATGCAGAACATGAGCTAAGCCATACTTGCACAATGGACATGATCCCTGATATTTGAAGCAAAGTGCACTTATCTGCAATCTATCTCCAATACTTGCAACCTTACATTTCTGAACAGGTATTCTAGAACTATAAAATCTCTTTGCACCCCAAATATGAAACTAAAATAGTAAAATCATAAAACTTGATTTGATATAAATGGCCACCAACACCAAATATGAGCAAGCAAATAAACTGCTCCGTTTCTGGAGTAGCATCATACTAATGAGGAAATATAAAAAGGACTCAGAACATCTACCCTGTAAAAATCTACACCAAAAGAAAGCTAAACATTCAGCCTGTCCATTCATCAAATAATTTTTCTAGAATAAGCAAATCTGAGAAGCAACATTGTTGCAAGCCTGCAAGAGACAGTTCAAAGTAAACGAGGCCACCAAAATGGACACAAATGCACTTGTAGACCCACAAACTTCATCTCCCCTAATTTCAAGTAGAAATTACTGATAGATATAATTAATTCTACCCTTTCAATTGGAATTCACTAAAACAGGAATTGCAGAAAACCAAAGATTTGTGCGTGAACTCAAACACCAAGCGCAAAATTGTTAAAAACCACCACTTAGTTCCTTATTTAAGACAGGTTATTAAATGAATAGTTAAGATTTATTCTTAAAATTGAATGGTTAATCTTGGTTTGCTTGCTTTTCTTTCAAGCCAAAGAAATTTATTTACCTATAAATATATAAATATATGGTTATAATACACAAAAAAAAAAAGATAATTAGTAAGAGAGGCCAACAAAAAAAAAAGCACCAACAAACTTTTTTTCTACTACATAATGGTATTTTTCTTCTAAGTTGTCAGGTCAAGTGGGCTAAATGAATTTTAGTTGCTTGATCAAAGTTTAGAATAGGCTTTGCCTATACTAAACCAAAGACTCAACAAATCAGGGCCATTGATCAATTTTGTTTGATTTGTTCATGACCATTGGATCAAATATGAAGTGATCTAGACCATTCAGTAATGTGAGCTCATACCAATATCGTATGATCGGTTGCATGATTAGTACTTAAAAGTGTATTTTTATCAAGGTTTTATATCATTATTTTGCACTTGAAGTATCAATAACTTCTTAACTAAAGCATGTTTTATAATAACATATCTAACAATATAAGATACATTTAATTTATGGTAAATGTGCTTTTTAAATGTAGGCCTATCACATAAACGAAAGGATTGATTAATGAATTTAAGAACTGAAATTGAAAAGACAAAGAGATGACCAAACTTAGAAAAGAGATGTTGGTGCAGTCCAAACTAGAACATTGTTCGGTAATTGGATCATATTTGAAACTGTAGATCTCGGATTTAGGTATACTTTATATGGATGGAAAGGTAAGACATAGGCCTACAACTTTCATATGGAGTCCAAGATTTAAAAAAGGTCATTTTCAAGTTCAAATTGTAGCAATAACAAAGAAGTCCTAATATGTCCTACAGCTCGCATACTGTTCAATGTTTGGCCTATATATAGAGTTCTAAAAGTCCAAATGACCTTTATTTTTTATCTAGAAAGCTGGGACAATTTCCTACAACTTTCATGTTTTCAAGTGGTTCTAATTTTGACGTTATCAATGACATTTTGGGCATATAATAGAAGATAAAAATTGTCACCAAGTCAAGAGTTGACCACCCACTCATCAATTAGTCATCAAATCAATAGTTTCTAATTTTGGCCTATAAAAGAAGGCATTTACCATGCATTTAGGCATCTTGGTTTTTAGATCAAGATCATGCTTTTGCTTTTTCTCTTTGTATTTTTTGTATTGCTTATATTTTGCTTTCATTAATATCAAGTTTATGTCTTTCATTTCCTTTCCTTTACTTAGTTAACTTTTATCTTATTTATATTTTTATTTTGTTTATTTATTTTTCTTTTTTTTATTATGTTTAACTAAGTTTATTATGTCAAGATGAAAAGGTTACACTAATGGTGTAAGAATAAGTATAATGTAAACTCAATATGGACTTTAATGTTTGATACTAACATGTTTTGTATTTGTTATCTTATTTACTCTTTAATACTTTGCTTGTTAAATGGCTAATCTAGATTTATGTTGTATGACACTTAGTACAACAAATGCTTGGCACTTTCACAGCCCATACTGTATGGTATAACTGACACCTAACCTATGAAAGAAACTTGATTTGTTGTTAACATAAGTTATAATCATGAATGCTTGACGAGATTTACAAGTATTAGCATTAATCTAATAAGATGACTAATGTAATCATACTAACAATTTATAATCTGATTGGAACCTCCTTTATGTGTGGTTTTCAATTGAGTAATAAAAGTTTATACTATACTTGTTTGACATACCATTAGTGGATCCTCTAACCTTGACATTTATTGTTATCATTGTTTAATCCTTACGTTAATCTTTCATCTCAAAGTTCTCATCAACTTCTTCTTCTTCTTCTTCTTCTATTATTATTATTGTTATTGTTATTATTGTTACTACTATTATTACTATTACTACTAATACTACTATTACTACTACTACTACAATTATTATTATTATTACTACTACTACTATTATTATTATTACTATTATTGTTGTTATTATTATTGTATTATTGTTATCTATAATTTATATAATTAAACTCCTTGTGGTTCGACCCCGGTCTTGCTGGATTATTTATTACTTCGACACTTCTGCACTTGAGAGAAGACATCAATCTTTTAGTCGTGTCACCGTACATAATCTAGCCCATTTCATCTCCTTCCCATCATCGATGTTGTTTCTAGCCATTCATTCTTTGTTTTCCAGTCACAAAAATAGGCACCGCTACTATAGAAAGAAGCACCACTTTATAGAGACCAATATCCTACCAGAAAGCAATAACCACAACCAACCAACGATTCCAACAATTCCCATTAATATGGTATTAAACACATCTACTTATGGTTATTTTTCATTTCAAATCAATAGCCAACAGCATACCCCAACACCTCTTCCTACAACGCTCATTGCGGCCACCGACAACCTTGAACCTAGTCATTAACTACAACGCAGAGAAAGACACCAACGAACTGATGGAGAAAGTGAGAGTCGAAATAAAGAAAGAGGGAGAGAGAGGACTAAAGCTTTGGAAGGGCAGATATCCTTTTTCAGTAAATAAGCATCACTAGTGTTGTAGTGAAGATGAGACCAAGGATCCTCAGATCCATTAGTTTTTGCCCTTCAATTGATGATAACACATGGATCCACGCGTCACTATTGTTCTAGCAACCTCTCCAAGCTATCCTTAGCCTTTGGAAGGTTCATTTGAGGATTTAGATAATTTTTTTTGTTTTTTTTTTATGATTTGTGGTAATTACAATTTTATGTAAATATTTGTAATTGTAATTTTATGTAAATATTTGTAATTGTATAGGTGTGTGGGTTAGATTAGGAAAAAAATAGAAGAAGAAAGGTGTTTACACACTTGTATTTTTTATATGTTTTTGAATATTTAAAACCAAAAAAACATAAATATTTTTTATGTCTTTAGTGATGGCTAAAATGGAGATCTATAACTTAAAAGTAAAGTGGAGTACATTAAAAGACCTCCATTATAGTTTTCTCTTAGAAGGTACCAGAACTTTAGCAGTTGGTTAATCAAAAAAGGAAATGGTGAGAGTAAAATGTGTGTATTGGTTTCATTTGATTTTAGTAAAGAAAAAACTCCTAAAGATGGTATCATTACCAAATCTAATTAACTATATTGACTTGAGTGCAAACTTGAAATTAGTAGGAGATTGCATGTGTATATACTAATTGTAGACCTTAAAAAGGCTTGGATTATAAAGGAATACAACAACAAATTTTATTAGACTAGCTAGATTGCTCAGGTTCAG